TTTGACCATTTCTGGTGTATTTTATGTGAAATTGAAGGGTTGATTAAGTTTTGTTTGATTGGAATTTAGATTTAAAAATATTCACGCCAAAGGGCAATGGTAAAATATGAGAGCCATTTTTGGAGCGCTATATATATTTATCGTTATTTCATACAATTTTGCATCTTTCTCAGTAAGTACAGAAGTTCCCCCTTGTTCCAAACAGGCAAAATAAAATGACGATAAAGTCACTGATCACTGCGAACTAAAGTACCGCTTTCTAACAGCCGTGCAGTGTGCGCGTGTTTGAGCTGTGTTCTCACTGTCATTTCTGCATTTTTAAATATTTTTTTTCCGGAACACTTCTCGTGTGGAAACATACCCTCTCACATCTAGGCCTAGGTCTAGATATCTACAGAAAGTAAAGGCGGGAGCTTGGATTTTCTGATCAGGTGAAGAAAAGAAAATTGAAAAAAAATGAAGGTTTCGATCTAGACCTACCCATCCAAAATTCACCCAGTTTCACACACCCGCATCGCGTTCCCACCCACCCCCTCCCATCTCTACCCTACAGTAGGCTAACCCTCGTCTACCTTCTTGGCTTTGGGGCCCATCACACTCTAGCAATACAATGTGTTAGAAATCGAGGATGGGCCTTGTGCTTCGTGTGAGATGGAGAGAAAGGAGAAATATTCTTCGCTTTTGGGGCCGCTAATTGCTTTTATTTGGTTATTGCAACCTCGCTCAAAGCGACTTCCGTCTGTTTGCAACCTCATTGGAGCTGACGTACATTTACAAAGAGATATAGAGGGAAAAATCGGGGAGTAAGGATTGCCTCGTTGGAGCCAACTTCTCGTTGAATGTGACCTCGTTGAATGCGACACCCGCTGTATTCCAAACATATGTTTCAAATTCTCAACCCCCCAAAAAATCACACATTTCCATATTATGTAAAATTCATCATACTTGTTTTGAATAATGGTTTTCATGCCATTTAAAATACATTGAATTTTTAAAATACTGAATCAACAGTAAAATTCACAAGCAAACCTGTGTGTCTCCTCATGTGTCGAACAAGGCAGCCTTTCGTCTTAAAACCATAAGGACAGTTTTCAAATGTGCATATGTACTTCCTCTCGTCGGAGTGCACAACAGCATGAGCTTTCAAGACTGTCAGCTGAGAAAACAACATTACTGGGAATTGAGGAACAATTTTTTGTGACACCAAATTGTCAATTACTTCTAAGTAATGTAATATATACACTTTAAAACTTGGTTGTCTGCTAGTAATATGATATACAGTATAACACGGATAGGATAGACTTGAAATTAACTCATCCGTCGAACTGTGCCTACAGTCCCATTTTTTCTTCTTCCTTTTCTTTGTAAGATATCCCTTGAACTACAGATCCCTCGAACTACCGAGGCCGGTCCCGACGAATTCTAGCTATCCGTGTTACTACAGTTACAATTCCCAGAGTCAAGACAATAAAATGCTAAAGAAGTAATATTTGAAGTATGGTAAGTAGAAATGATATTCAAATATTTTCAAGATAAAAGTATTATATTTGTTGATAACATAAGCTCACCTCCTTAAAGGATCTAAAACAAATATCACACGAATATGGTCTCTCCGTCTCAGCTGCCCCTGTCGATGGTTTGCTCACTCTCTGCTTCACAGGTTCAGCAGTGCCGGGTTTCTCAATTACCACGTGAATTTCCCGGGGCTTCCTGCCAGGACCCTCTGCATCATCATTCAAATGATGGTCATCCTCTTCTTCAATTTCTTTCTCCGCTTTATAGTCCTCATCTCTACTCGAGAGTACTTCCTCTTTGATCTTGCTTTCCTCAGCATCTGACTCATCACTATTCTCTTCCTTCTGATTGTGTTCGTATTTTATGTGCCAGCGCAGTGTTGCTTCCCTGAACAAGAAAACAAAAAATATAGTTTCAGTACAGTTCTCATTTCCAAGATAAAAAGTCATTCAATAGTACAATGAAACGTTCTATCACTCACTCCTTTTCTTACTGATAAACCTATCTAATCAAATTTCCAAAACATGTGAGATGAGAAATATTTACAAAATAAAAGCTCAATATTTCATAAACTGCGAGAAAGTGAGAAAGATATATTTATACACAGAAACTGCCAAATTTCAAGTCTCATAACATAACATTCGCATTACATGAAAAGTAAAAAATGCTAGTAAATCAAAAAGATGAGTGAAAATTTTGAAACCATGACATGCTCACAAATTAGTTACATTTTTCTTCGTGGAAACAAAATATATGTTGCAAAAAAGACAGATGTGAGCCTCACAATACTATTGTTTCTCATAGTTCCCTCCCAACACCAATATCAGCTGGTCATAGATTTATTGTAAAACAAACCTTCGAAACGTCTTTTGACACACACTGCAGCTGTAAGCAGTTGCTGCCCTTTCCACATTCCCTGTGATATGTTTAGGACCAGAGTCTGAAATGGTTAATAAGGACACTTCCATCAGATACCTTAAAAACTTCACAAAGGTCAAAAAATATTTTTGCAAACCTTTCTCAAGCACGTAGATTGATACAAAATGAGAATCATTTTGTAATGAAAACTTCAGTCATCCAATATGAAAATACTTTGGTTGATTATAATGGATATAAAAAGGAGGTAAATACAGTGGAATCCTGTTATAACGAGAGGGAGGGGACTGGTGCAAAATGTCCGTTATATCAGGATTCTCGCCATAAGGGATCCAGTAATAAACTCAAGGGAAATAATAAAGTAGGCCTAATCTATGAGTTTGGTGTTCTGTTTATTTCTTTTTGTTATCTACCCAGATAGTGATTTTGTTTCAACATGACCTCTAGGTCATACTTGATCAAAAATTAAATCAGGTTTCTTTCTCTCGTGCTAGCGATGTTGACAGCACGGCATTGGCGATCAGAAAGAAAAGGCTCTGGGCTAACTCGCCCACTGTGTTTTCCCCCACCCCACCACACCCTGCGGTGCATTCCGTCTGCTTGAGCACGTCACAAATTTGCTCCATCCATCACATTGCTGTGACCTGTCCATACCCACATCGGAGAAGTGAGAGGCATGGTAGGCCTAGATAATCTAGACTAGGCTAAGCCTAGGCTGACCTATCAGGCGATGCGTTCTGCTTGTCTGCGCATGTCACACCCTCCCTACTCAGTCTCTCCGGCCTTCATTGTTGACACACCTGGGCTCTCCCATTCTTTGTTTCGCTAGATCACCAACAAGTTTTTCAACTTGTGAGGTTTTACATTATGTATAATTGGCCTATGCACTGTGCACAGCAGCAGCAATATTCCGTTATAACCGACTCGCACGTTTGTCTCATTGCGCTATAAAAGCATTATTTTATTCACAAAGATAAAGAAGAGAAAAAAACAGGGTTTTAGAATAGTGTCTTTATAACAGACCATGTTATTTCAGGACTTGTTATATGTGACTCCACAGTACATAAAAATGTGCCAGACATGGAATGCCGGCAGAAGAGAAAGAAACCACTTCTGTCATAAATTTTATTTCTGAGAAGTGAACATAGATTGAGACAGCTTTCAGATTTTTCACATCAAATCTGAAAAAGGATTTTACGGAATATTTGAAGAGTGTGCAAAATACTTAATCCCTGCATATTTAAAGACAAGTTCACTTTCTCCCAAACACAGACTTCTTTCTGAAAAATCCATGGAAAATGGCAAATGTATAGACGCTGCCAATTTACATTACATTAAGTTACTGACTAAGAGCTTATTTATGTGAGGCAGCATGGTGAAATCAGGCGTTCATCAAAATACAGAAAAATCAATCGGAGAAACAGGCATTTTTCTGCCAGTTTGGAAATTTTTATCGAATTTTTATTTTTGGCTCAACCTCTTTTATGTCCATATAAAAACACATTTCCAATATAAATTTTACTGCAAAACATTGATTAAAGGCACAAAACACGTCATTTTTTTCTTTTTAAGGACTCTTTACCTATTGGAGTTACCAAACTTCGGCGGCCATTTTCTCGTCAATTTCACCACTGAAACCAGGCGACCTCACTTCTTTCAAAATATTTTGAGTTCTATTCAAGAGAGATGGATATCTATTTCATAGAAAGCAAGGCAAATAAATGAGCTTTCAGATGATACCTATAACTCCACAAGCCCAAAAATGGACGAGTCCCTGATTCCACCACGTCGTGACAATATATATATATAGTTCTACCTTTTTCCTTTTCTTGCTTCAAGAGGTCAAGATTTTCCTCTTTCTTTTCATTGTCTGTATCCGTGTTCTGCTCCACTGCTGCATCAACACCATTAGCATCTTTTCTCACACTGACGACCTGAGCTTTTCGCTTGCGAACCTGGCGCTTTCGCTTCTGCACCAAATTTGGCAAAGCGAAACGTTTATCTGCCTTTGAACGTGTTTGAGTGATTCTGAAATTTTCATCTTTTATTTTGTGTTCCAAATAGTCTGGAAGGTTTTTAAATACTTTGTTACATTTACGGCAGATGAAATAATCTTCTTCTGTATCGCCATCTGCTATCACAGGAGTCCCTGGGGATTCGAGAATGGATTGAGTTTGGTCAACATAGTTGTTTTTTTTTAAAGGTTAATATCAGACTTCTTTTCTACAAAAAGGAGTATGACATTGATAATCATAAGAGTCAAGAGGAATACAACAGAAAATGTTCAAAAAAATGTAGCCTACAGTAAATTTAAAAACTGGAGCTTGATTTTGATGCTCTAGCCATACATCATGTGGAAGGAACAGAACTGAGAAAATGTTCTCTCTATAAAAACAAACCATCCTCAGTACAGGAAACCCAAGCTTTCTTGCTTTGTCAAACCTTGCACCAAAAACAGTGCACTACCTTCTATCCTTTTCAAAATCTCCACTTAACATAAGATCTTCAAAAAGTTCACCATTAGGCTTCGACTGTCAAAGTTAACAACACCCTCACTTTACACAAAAAAGTACTAAGCCTTTTCAACAAATGAGGCTAAAATAGTGGCACCAATAGATTCAAAATTGCTTGACCAGGCAGTCTCTAATGAAATATTATTTTATTAATGTTGTCATTTATGTAGAAATGTAGATCTATAAATTTAAATTTATGATCCTACTACTTAGACCTATATCATAGTATCTTCTCCCCCCCCCCCCCCTTCTAGGTCTAATACCCATGCACGCCAATATTTGACCAAAAACCACACTGTGGGTGATGCCCTTGACTGGCACGATCTCAACAAAGCTACAAACTCAAACCTCCATTTTCATTTGGTAGTGTCAATTGCCACCGAGTGACGCGGTGGCAATTGACAAAAATTGACTTTTTGTCAATTGCCACCGAGTAAATTGGAGCTCTTTTGCTTTGGTGGGTAGATCTAGCTTATTGTGCTCGAGTGCTCGGTGTTGTGCGTTCGCCTCTCTGTCCCTCTGTGTGTGTGTGTGTGTTTGTGTGTGTGTATGTGTGTGTTTGTGTGTGTGTGTGGGTGTGTGTGTGTGTTTTCCCCACCCCCGTCCCACTATTTATGTTCCCCGATATAACGTGAATTTCTGCTTGAGTTTGTGTGCGTTTATAGTTTGTGACCTTCTAGGCCTACTTCTAGAATTGCCTGTGTTGGTTCAACACAAAAGTGTAGGCTAAGGCTAGCCTAGATCTAGGCCTACGTCTCATTGAAAACGTGCCAAGTTGGTACCGTAGCTCTAGACTAGATGCTCGTCCAATGAAATTAGTTGAGAACAATTTGACCCATTAGACACACATTTATGTATAAATGCTAACGATAGTATTGTTTTCAGACTTGACACCGCTTCACTCGGTGGCAATTGACAAAAACTAAATTTTTGTCAATTGCCACCGCGTCACTCGGTGGCAATTGACGCTACCTTTTCATTTTACTGCCCAAGTCCAAGCCTGGTAGATGCTCTGGTTGTTTCAAGCCAGTCATAAATCAAGTGCATACATAAATGATTTGTTAAAAGTAAAAGTAAAAATAAAAGGCATACTACTCTACACTCTAGACTAGACTCTAGACATTCTCTAGATCTAGATCTAAATCTAGATCTCTAGATCTAGATTAATTCTATGCTTTCACTTTATACCTTATATATTTCAACCACCCCTAGCGGCTAGCGGCCTAGCCCCTGTCCCTGTGCAATTTGAACATAATTTTTGGCATTGGCAGTTTGTTATAAAAAGAATTATATAATATAGAGTCTACATCTAGAATCTAATCTAGAATCTAGATCTAGATATTAGATCTAGAATCTATATCTAGATCTAGATCTAGATCTAGATTCTAGATCTAGATCTAGATATATACAGTCTAGATCTAGATATAGTAATATAGATCTAGATCTAGACTATCTAGTCTAGATTCTAGATCTAATGACAATGATAATACAAACTAACAAAAACTGACACCATCACGACCAATCGGCCTAAATTCAGCTGCGCCATTGCTTCATTCAACGCCTGCACTATTTATTATAATATTATATGATGAAACCTCATCAGTTACAAAACACATATTCTTGTCACTATCCTCATCAGCTATGATAAGAAGAAGACAGAATAATATTTTGAAATCGAAAGTGGGCGTTACCATTCAGGTCTATGAACGCCAAAGTATCGCTAGTAGGGTTGCTGTCGTTCTCAGATTCGTTCATTTTGCGACACTATGGCGGTTTGCAGTTTGCTCAACGTTGTTGTTGGCATCCAGTCAGTAGTTTCCTTCCACCGAACTAACACATCTCTTAAATTTAAAAGTAAAGGGAAAAAACTCATAGCATGTGTGCATTGACCGGAAGTAATGTGATGATTTAAGCCAACCCACGTAGATGAATGAATAAAGACAGTCCAATAAGAATATTGCTGCTTGGGACAAGTTTATAAACATTCTCTCGCAAAGTTACTAGAAATTTATATCTCAATTGAGAGAAGGGAAATCTAGGCTTAGTATGGTGATAAACTTTATTCCTACAATTATAATTAGGCTAATAATATAATAGGCAATAAGCCTTTGAATTGTAATCTATTTTGATCAAGTAAGAAAAAGATTATTATTATTGTTCTAGTGCTTTCAATATTTGTAGGCCTTCTTAGAATTTAGTTAATTTTGAAATCTTGGACTAGAAAAGACGTCACAATTATACCACAAAATCAGTGGCCGGAAGTGGTGCTGGAAAAGGGTGGCTCCAGTATCCATCTCCAGGGGTCAAGTACACTCCCTATCAAGGTACTATTAAATGGGTTTTGATTTTTTATTTCCTTTTGCGTTTGGACATTCGTGAGTCAATGCAAATAAAATTGCAGGACCAAAAAATACGCACACATCTTAAAGTTAGTAGGTAAAAAGCCGAGATAGGGGCAGAAGCTTTAGATGTGCAAAGTGTGATGCCATGTTACTGTTAGAGCGTAAGTGTAAAGAATGATAATTCATGTGCTTTTCAAACAGAAACGAAAAGAATGATAAAATTTTATTTTTAGCATGTATAGGCAAGTGATGGCGACTTTGACTCTCACATAAAACCGCCCCTGCACAGAATGTCTAGAAGGTTCACGGAATTATAGTGTGTCTGCCTTTCAATCATCTATTTCTAACTTAATATAATATTATAATCCGATCTAGCTCTTAATACATGTACGACTAAAACTACAATCATCATCAAATGCCTGATGTGGGACGGATATTGGTGATCATGGTTTGCCATCAGGCGCGGTTCGTCCATAGAGCACGGTCGTGCAGTGCCGCCCAAATTTTTTTAATGTTCTATTACGAAAAGCACCCTCAAACATGAAATAAAAGAAGTCAGAAACAAACACTAGCCAAATATAATACCAAAACAAGGTCCTCGCTGGCACTGTAACTGTCATTTCTGAGTCAGAAGCGCCGTAAAACATCTGCTATGCTATGCCAAAGTCCACACGCTTTAACTAAACGTAACAGAATATTCAACAGTTGCAATCTGACCTATAAATCGCTCTTTGGAATAACCCAAGCGAAGACGACACTCGTAGCGAGTTTGGCGGTACATTAATATTAACAAGACGGCACATCTCAAATGTGCACCCACGAAACATAGCCCACAGTAGACACAGTAGGCAGTCTAAAAATAAACGCGATACTATTCAATGCCAAAATTATGTGGTCCCTGGAGCAATCCAGCGAAGTGCTCAAGTGAATTGTGATTGGTTCATTGTCTTGCCACTATTTTAAACCACT